TACGCACAAAAACATCAAAATTAGCACAGAAACAGTACTATATAACATTTTAGACACATTCTAGACAGTTTATCGGCTAAAAAAAGTTAATTTTGGGGTCTACTGCTCATTTTAAGTGCAAACTCCTTATTTCGTCTTGTGCTATCAGAAACGTGGTGTATTCAGAGGCTGTTTTAAATGTAGTGCAGGAGTCGAGGGAGATGAAGGCCCATTTTGGATACAGTTCTCAAAATGTGGGCTAGCTTGTATTGGTGCATACTGTTTTTATAACATATATCAAATAATAAGAAGGCAAAATGCTACATCTGTCTGTTTAGATGGACCATGTTATTCCTTGTGAGCAGCACTCTGTAAAGTTAACATTGCAGACCAGTTTGTGCCTTCATAAGATAAGAAGCAGGATTGCTAATTTTAGTTCAGCCATTAGTTTCTGCAAGCTGTCAAGCACTACATTAGCCACCCACTTTTATCTTAAAGTGCTTCTGTGCACATTGAACAGACCTAATGTTTTATCTAGGTTTGCTATTAGTACTTCTGTGATTATTTATAGATTTCTTCTCCCACTCACTTCCAACTGCAATACATCCCACTCGCAGCGTCTTAGTGGAGTCTTTCTTTCCCTGGCTGCAGTCTGCAGTTTCATTTAGCTGATTGTCACTTGATGAGAACCTGCATTGCAACAAACTGAGGACGTCTTCAGGGCTAATTTGTCTGTGAGGCAGATTACATTAACTGCATTGAGCTGTTAGCATAGCCTCACATCCTTTTGCAGCACATTTTTGGATGTTCCATTTGCATTTGTTCTCTCAAACGATCATAATGCTTAACATCCCTAAAGCTCATGCTGATGAATTTGTATCACTTGTTTTATTGAACCCACAGCCTGAAACCTCAAATTAATTCAGATGTTTGCTTCATAAATGATTCAAACTGAAAATGTTTACCTTTAAGAAAACTAAAATGTAAATGCAAGATGTTTTTTTATGGCTTTACCAGTAAGTTTTACAAAACATTTTAACCTCAAAAAGAAAAAAAAATTGTATATTCAGGCTTTTAAGCACTGCCTCCATGTTCAGGCTTAAAAGCCTGAATTTTGCCTGAAACTCTCAGACTGAAGAAGTCTCTTGGAGGAGAGACGAAACGTTTCATTAGAGAAGAACCCGTCCAGAAGACCTATACAATTTATTTCATTTTGATTTTTTTACCTGGATTACTGAGATGCATCAGGACGTTTTAACCTCAGTTTTAGTTCATGATTACATTTTTGTTTTTATTATGTCAGTGATAGAAAAAGCACAGCAGGTTAAAAATATTCTTTCAAATTAAAATTTACTTTGTATTCAGGACTTCTGCTGCTCCAGCTCATATTTGTAGTGTAAACTTTGCTTCTTCTTGTGTCAACAGGACAGAGTGTTCAGCTCAGTAGCTTATAAGTCGTTCATGTTGTCTCACCCTGTTTAATGTTTTTTTTTTTTGACATGGACTTATCAAAAGTCTTATAAAAAGAGGAATTAAAACAACAAAATTATCATCCTAAAGTTATTGCCATTCTGCAGTTTAAATTGCCAATTTATTAATTTATTTAGCTAAAAGAAAATTAAGAAATCACGTGTCTGCTCAGTTTTTTATCAGTTGGTGCTACTTGTATGTTGAGTATGAAGCAAAACTAAACTTGTTCCAAACTGGCATTTTTGTGCTGTTCTTTAATTCAGTGTATAGTTTATTGATCTACAAATGTTTTCTTTCAAAGAAGACATTTTTACATGTTGTCTGCTTGTTGGTGATGATTAACAAACTGGAAAGGGTGAGTCTCATTAGTTAACCTAAACCTGATTTATCTTATGCGAGACGTTTGTGCTCAGGAACGCTGAATGGTTCATTACAAAGATATTTGTCTGAGTTAAGTTTAATGCTTGTGGATCAACCTGTTTTGAAGCCCTTGTTTTTTTTTTAAATGCGACTCAATGATTGTTAGCTTCAGTAACTCAAGGAAGTAAGTATAATTTTAACTCTGCATCAGTCTGTGATTTTTGTATTTGTAAAGAAGATGAGAAAGAACGGATTGTGTTCAGTTTATTTAATTAAAAAATGATTGATTAGACTATTTCTAATGTTTAGAAATTTCTGTGTGTACTTGGGTAAATCTTCACAAAGTTACTTATACATCTACATAAAATTAACATTTGCTTTAGTGTAAATTATGAATAATTTCTACATTAAAACACTTTCCATTCAAAGTGATGCTAACAACTCTATCTTAACATTAGCAGTCATTATAATTTAGACTTCAGTACACCTGCCTAAATTTCAGCTGTAGTACAGAGAAGCAAAGGAGAAGGTCTAAAATGGTTTCAGTAGAAATCTGTTTTCTAAAGTCTGTCACTGAAACAAACATTTTTAAAATGCCATCCTGGTGACACACATAATTCTTGTCCTTTATTCTGGCCCTTTGCGATTTTTACCACAAAGCTATTTATGAGTTTGACCTAGAAGAGCAGCCCAGATTGAATAACTGTATTTAGCCCACCACAGAAGTCTAGAAAGATCCACATTTTCTCTTTGATTCATATAAGATGATTAATCTCCTCCTTCTCTGAAGGAAACAAAGAAATGAAACGTGTGACAATAAGTATTCCTGGTCTCACAACCACTGGAACTTTGGCTGTRTCTCAATTCAGGGGCTGGGTCCTCATGAGTGCGCATTTGTCGGCTGCATACGTCATTGCCCCAGGCGGAGGACTGTCCCAATTCGAAGGCTCCTCATCATGCGGCCGAGGAATGCGTCCTACTTCCTGTCCAAATCCGAGGATGCATCCATGTATCCTTACCAGCCGAGGATATCCCAGGATTCAATGCGCGGGCAGCAAAATAAACAGAGAAATGAAGACGGTGGTGTTTTTATTTTTTTAACTTGTCAGCGCAGTTTGGAAATTCACCACGGACCGAAGGATTTGTTTTTTTAAAAGTTAGTTTAGCAACTTAGCT